TATTCATTGGTTGATATAAGATAACCTTTGTTTTTCATTGGTTGATATAAGATAACCTTTATTATATATTGGTTGATACAAGATAACCTTTGTTATTCATTGGTTGATATAAGATCACCATTGTTTTTCATTGGTTGATATAAGATAACCTTTGCTATATATTTGTTGATACAAGATAACCTTGGTTATTCATTGGTTGATATAAGATCACCTTTGTTTTTCATTGATTGATATAAGATAACCTTTGTTATTCACTGCTAAATATAAGATAACCTTTGTTATATATTGGTTGATATAAGATAACCTTTGTTATATATTTGTTGATACAAGATAACCTTGGTTATTCATTGGTTGACATAAGATAATGTTTGTTATATATTGGTTGATAACAGATAACCTTTGTTTTTCATTGGTAGATAACCTTTATTATTCACTGCTTAATATAAGATAAACTTTGTTATATATTGGTTGATATATGATAACCTTTGTTATATACTTGTTGATAACAGATAACTTTTGTTATTCATTGGTTGATATAAGATAACCTTTGTTATTCATTGGTGGATATAAGATAACCTTTTTTATTCATTGGTTGATATATGATAACATTTGTGATAAATTGGTTGATACAAGATAACCTTTGTTATTCATTGATGGATATAAGATAACCTTTGTTATTCATTGGTTGATATATGATAACCTTTGTTATATAATTGTTGATAACAGATAACCTTTATTATTCATTGGTTGATATAAGATAACCTTTGTTATTCACTTGATATGGGGGCACGGGTGGCCCAGTTTGTCTAAGGCGCCGCGATTCGCTGTGCAGAGTTGCGTCACTTGTCCCTTGGGCACGCCAGAAACCTATGCTTGTGGGTTCGAATCCCGGTTCGCCCTGATTATGTTTCTAGGTTTGTCAGCACCATACCCGTGCTCGTGGGTTTCACAGAATTTGTAAACGTCTGAGACCTACATCACTTCGGGCTTTCCTCCCACATTAAGCTGACACGCCGTGATATAACTGGAATACTGTTAAAAGCGGTGTTAAACCCAACTCACTCACTCATTGGTTGATATAAGATAACCTTTGTTATTCATTGGTTGATATATGATAACCTCTGCTATTCATTGGTTGATATATGATAACCTTTGTTATTCATTGTTTGATATATGATAACCTTTGTTATTCATTGGTTGATATAAGACAGTGGTGCAGTTGGTGTCCTGGAGTATAAGTATGTAGTAGGCCGTAACTCACTGCAGAATTGAGTCCCGTAGACGTGCCAGAAACAAATAATGTTGGGTTTGAATCCCATACTCGCCCTAATTATGTTTCTAGGGGTTGTCTGGTCTATACCCTTGCTCGTAGCTTTCACCACTGATCTATCTATCTATATATCTATCTATCTATCTCAGTGTCATACTGCACTTCTATGTTACAGGGGCAGTCGGGTAGCCTAGTGGTTAAAGCGCTCCCTCGTCACGCCGAAGTCCTGGGTTCGATTCTCGACATGGGTACAATGTGTGAAGCCCTTTTCTGGTGTTCCCCGCCGTGATATTGCTGGAATATTGCTAAACGCGACGTCACACCATACTCACTCACTCTACGTTACTTCGTCAATGGTTTCGATAGGTTGGTGAATTTAATGCATTTTCTATAGTGAGCTGCAATCACGTGTGTATGTAGGACTGCTTGTGCTAATGAGGACTTGTGCTAATGCGGAGTTGTGCTAATGCGGACTTGTACTAATGCGGACTTGTGCCGGTTTCATAGTGACCGCCCACTCAACTTTATGGCCACTGAGACTCCCAGGGGATCTGTCCTGTTTTCATGGATTCAGGGTGGAGATGGGAGCGGGGTGTATACACATTTAGATCTCAGGTTTTACAGCCGGACATACTGGATGTTCTAAAAGATGGGGTGTTGTGGGAGAAACAAACATTGTGTGGCTCCTCCATTCGTTCCTTCTCCACCCCAACCACTCTCTCACTCACTCCATCATTCACCACACTCAAATTGTTTGGCTCCTCTCCCCCCTCCCCCTCTTTCTCTCCCCCCTCCCCCGGTATCTCTCTCCCCTCTTTCTATCCCCCCCCCCCTCTCACTCATTCACTCTCTCTCTCTCCCGTCTCTCTCATTCACTCTCTCCCACTCTCACCCATTCACGCTCTCTCTCCCCCCTCTCCCTCGCATTCACACTCTATCTCCCTCTCACACCCTCTCTCTCACACTCTCCCTTTCCCCTCTGTCTCATTCACACTCTCTCCCACTGTCACTCCATTATTCACCACACTCAAACTGTTTGGCTCCTCTCTCGCTCCCTCTCTTTCTCTCTCTGGGAGGAAAGCCAGAAGTGCTGGAAATCACGGTGTCGGAGGTCAAGAGACATCTCTAGTCCGTGTACTGTACGCACATCTCTAGTCCGTGTATTGTTCGGAAATTTCTAGTCCGTGTATTGTACGCACATCTCTAGTCCGTGTATTGTACGCACATCTCAAGTCCGTGTATTGTACGCACATCTCAGATTGAACACAGATAATAGTTTTCTATGGCACACCATTCCTGTTGGATGTCCTCCTTCATTTAGCCTTTGTTATTCATTGGATGATATAAGATAACTTTTGTTATTCATTGGTTGATATAAGATAACCTTTGTTATTCATTGGTTGATATAAGATCACCATTGTTTTTCATTGGTTGATATAAGATAACCTTTGCTATATATTTGTTGATACAAGATAACCTTGGTTATTCATTGGTTGATATAAGATCACCTTTGTTTTTCATTGATTGATATAAGATAACCTTTGTTATTCACTGCTAAATATAAGATAACCTTTGTTATATATTGGTTGATATAAGATAACCTTTGTTATATATTTGTTGATACAAGATAACCTTGGTTATTCATTGGTTGACATAAGATAATGTTTGTTATATATTGGTTGATAACAGATAACCTTTGTTTTTCATTGGTAGATAACCTTTATTATTCACTGCTTAATATAAGATAAACTTTGTTATATATTGGTTGATATATGATAACCTTTGTTATATACTTGTTGATAACAGATAACTTTTGTTATTCATTGGTTGATATAAGATAACCTTTGTTATTCATTGGTGGATATAAGATAACCTTTTTTATTCATTGGTTGATATATGATAACATTTGTGATAAATTGGTTGATACAAGATAACCTTTGTTATTCATTGATGGATATAAGATAACCTTTGTTATTCATTGGTTGATATATGATAACCTTTGTTATATAATTGTTGATAACAGATAACCTTTATTATTCATTGGTTGATATAAGATAACCTTTGTTATTCACTTGATATGGGGGCACGGGTGGCCCAGTTTGTCTAAGGCGCCGCGATTCGCTGTGCAGAGTTGCGTCACTTGTCCCTTGGGCACGCCAGAAACCTATGCTTGTGGGTTCGAATCCCGGTTCGCCCTGATTATGTTTCTAGGTTTGTCAGCACCATACCCGTGCTCGTGGGTTTCACAGAATTTGTAAACGTCTGAGACCTACATCACTTCGGGCTTTCCTCCCACATTAAGCTGACACGCCGTGATATAACTGGAATACTGTTAAAAGCGGTGTTAAACCCAACTCACTCACTCATTGGTTGATATAAGATAACCTTTGTTATTCATTGGTTGATATATGATAACCTCTGCTATTCATTGGTTGATATATGATAACCTTTGTTATTCATTGTTTGATATATGATAACCTTTGTTATTCATTGGTTGATATAAGACAGTGGTGCAGTTGGTGTCCTGGAGTATAAGTATGTAGTAGGCCGTAACTCACTGCAGAATTGAGTCCCGTAGACGTGCCAGAAACAAATAATGTTGGGTTTGAATCCCATACTCGCCCTAATTATGTTTCTAGGGGTTGTCTGGTCTATACCCTTGCTCGTAGCTTTCACCACTGATCTATCTATCTATATATCTATCTATCTATCTCAGTGTCATACTGCAGCTCTATGTTACAGGGGCAGTCGGGTAGCCTAGTGGTTAAAGCGCTCCCTCGTCACGCCGAAGTCCTGGGTTCGATTCTCGACATGGGTACAATGTGTGAAGCCCTTTTCTGGTGTTCCCCGCCGTGATATTGCTGGAATATTGCTAAACGCGACGTCACACCATACTCACTCACTCTACGTTACTTCGTCAATGGTTTCGATAGGTTGGTGAATTTAATGCATTTTCTATAGTGAGCTGCAATCACGTGTGTATGTAGGACTGCTTGTGCTAATGAGGACTTGTGCTAATGCGGAGTTGTGCTAATGCGGACTTGTACTAATGCGGACTTGTGCCGGTTTCATAGTGACCGCCCAATCAACTTTATGGCCACTGAGACTCCCAGGGGATCTGTCCTGTTTTCATGGATTCAGGGTGGAGATGGGAGCGGGGTGTATACACATTTAGATCTCAGGTTTTACAGCCGGACATACTGGATGTTCTAAAAGATGGGGTGTTGTGGGAGAAACAAACATTGTGTGGCTCCTCCATTCGTTCCTTCTCCACCCCAACCACTCTCTCACTCACTCCATCATTCACCACACTCAAATTGTTTGGCTCCTCTCCCCCCTCCCCCTCCCCCCTCCCCCGGTATCTCTCTCCCCTTTTTCTATCCCCCCCCCCCCTCTCACTCATTCACTCTCTCTCTCTCCCGTCTCTCTCATTCACTCTCTCCCACTCTCACCCATTCACGCTCTCTCTCCCCCCTCTCCCTCGCATTCACACTCTATCTCCCTCTCACACCCTCTCTCTCACACTCTCCCTTTCCCCTCTGTCTCATTCACACTCTCTCCCACTGTCACTCCATTATTCACCACACTCAAACTGTTTGGCTCCTCTCTCGCTCCCTCTCTTTCTCTCTCTGGGAGGAAAGCCAGAAGTGCTGGAAATCACGGTGTCGGAGGTCAAGAGACGTGTTTGAAGCCTTGGAGGCGTCACCATCACAAACAACGCAACAGGCTGTACAAGAAGTAAGTAATTTATTACCTAAAGAGATCTTATCTTCCAGTGGATGTAAATATACAAAACGAAAATCTAGAGCAGCTGTCACAAATACAATTTGCACTTACGACTATGTTTGAATACATACACTAAGATTAGCAGACTTTGAATATCTAAGGCCTGCTGTACACTAAGGAAGCGTGGCTAACATGACGAGGTGGCAATATGACGTAGTCTATAACAGTAGTTGTGTTTAAATTACACAATAAATGCTCTGAAATGTGCATACAAGTAGTAACGAGATTTAACACAACAAGAAACACGCAAAGAATTCAAGAAAGAAATTCTAAGAATAAATTCAATGTATACAACGAATTATGGATAATTTACCTCGTTTCAGAATTATGTGATGTACAATTCTTTGGCAGTGTTTCTTTGGAAGTTGACAGGTGTTCCGATGTTCATGAGTAGTTGTCATGTAGCTAGTTGAAACAATATCACCCATATGCAAGTTTGGAAAATGCAGTAGTGACGTCGTAAGGTGAGTGTCTTGAATACAATGTAACATGTGGAATTCTTCCAGAGCCTCGGCGGCCATGATGGACACGTGACCGGAAGACAGTAGTAGAACAACTCCCAGTCTGTTATTGCCTCTTGATAGCAGTACGGAGGTAAAATGGTTCTGTGTAAGTTTCAGATGGCCAAACTCGACCAATAGTTCAATAGCACCAAAGAAAACACATCGTCCAAAGCACGCACATAGTCTCAACTTGGCTTTCGCTCTCTAAATCTCCACACGAGTCATGAATGATAACTGTCATGTGGTTTACTGTACAAACAAACAACCAATCATATTGGACACGTGATATACGCTGAAACCAATCACGATAGAGCTCTGTTCTGTACTATGACGTGTCTGTAATATATTGAATGAGGGCAGATGAAGATATCACATGATACGCCTGCAAGGCCTTCAGTGTAAGGCGGGACCCAAACATGTCATCTGATCGTCACCAAATCGTCACGTGACACTTGGCGGGATACAAAGATCCTGTCACTCTTTCAAGCTGATCCTCTAACACAGACACTTTGCTTGGATGGCATGAAGAAATGACATCATAAAAAGCTCCCAAAACATCTCAAACCTGCGTCAGCCTGTAGCGTAAATCGCAACAACTAAAGAAGGGGAGGTAACCCGTGTCGGGCTAACATGCAGGAGGACCGCAACGGTAAACTGCTCGCATACCCCGCAATGGCCGAAGCCTTATGCGGTAGAACATTGCAATGTCGGGATACGTGGCCAGTGGACCATCAGGTTTATATATAATCCAACAAAAGGGGGATCTATGCTACGATGATGACTAGTGCAGGTAGAAAGGTCAGAAATATAAAATTATGCTTCAAATACATGTTAGGAACACACTTGTTAGTGGAGAACGATTAACCCGAATACAAGTTCGGGTGATGGTAGTTTTGCATATGGATATGCGCAGGTAGTATCGTGGAGGGAGAGACAAAGCGGGGAAATCTTCTGAGGAGGAGAAGAGTAAGAGAGGGAGTATCAAACGAAATAAAGATGGAGAGAGTCTAAGATCAATGGCTACAGGTGACGGGCATTTAAACCATTTTATCAGGGGGTTTGAAAGTTTTAAGGCCCCTTGATGTCATTTCTCGGCAGTCGTATGTATTCGGGTCCTGGTAGGGCGTAGTTACAGTATTCACAGTACCCTGGGGGCCCGGGGGGACCCATGATACCACGGCGACCGTGTTGGCCTGACGTGCCCGGGGGCCCACGCTCGCCAGGCCGTCCCATGATGCCTTCGCCTGTCGGGCCAGTCGGACCTACGGAGCAAAAGCAATAGTTCAGTGATCGTACAGTGGTCGTACAGTGATCGCAGGGGCGACAATACCATTGGAGCAGAAAAGCAATTGCTTACACCTAAGAAAAAAGCATAATTTGTTTTATGACTAAACATCAATTTACCATCTATTCAGTAAATTATTAATTCAAACTCTTCACGTTTAAACATGATACTTATTGCCTAACTTGAAACTCGGAACCTTCACGCACTTTAGGATTTTAGCGGTAGATGGGTGTGACGTAAGCAAACCGCGCTCTCACAATTATTTTCATTATAATGATATGTCGGCTCGCGTTAAATTTGTAAATAAAAATACTACGAATAAACATGTAAAAACACAATATATTATTATCAATTCGTCTTAATGTTGAAATTTTATTTGTCATAGATGTTTTTTGAATGAAAGTCTTAAATGAATTACCAATATTTGCTACAAATAGAATCTAACATTAACGGTCCCAAAATGCAGGAAATACAGTTTAAGAGCATCTAATTTTTAAACATTTCTGTGGGGCATACCCCCAAAACCGGCCGTTTGGAGACTTGGTAACCCTGGGTCTACCTACCTTGTTGCGCCCGAAGGTCGCACAATTCCTACCAGTGATGACTGTATGCCAACTTGACAGCACTAGCTCAATCAATATGTTACCCACTAGTGCACCCAAGGGGACTCACCTTGTATTCCTGGGGGGCCTGGTTTTCCTTGGTTGCCGTGTCCGGTAGATCCTCGCTCGCCCTTCGGTCCCCTGTTGCCTGCAATATGTAGTACAAGAATGTAAGAGACCCTGCCGGCTAAGATGGATCAACACCTTCCAAAACGGTTGCCTGTCGTCACACTTAAAAGTTTTGTTTTTACAAAGTATTTTCGTTTACAAACGTTCCCGAAAGTTTCAAAGGTTGTCTGCATATAGTTAAACTGCGAATATATTTTTGAAGCAGGACCAGATGTCGTTGATTGCAGCCTAAACAATCACACTCACCCCAAATCTCGAGAATAACGTCGTCTTCAGCACTACTTTACTGGTCACACTTACCTAAGGATTCGGGGGAGAATTTAGTCGCCCGCAGCACTACACTACTGGTCTCACTCACCCATAGATCCGGGGGGACCTGAGGCCCCGGGAAGACCTGGCATCCCCATAAATCCACGTTCACCTGGAGGGCCCGGGGGACCGCGTTCTCCTGGAAACAGGTGGATGATAAAATCGCGTTTATCAAAAGTTTCAAAGTCAACATGATTATCGAAGATATTTTCCTAACGTAATATGCTGTGCCTTTAAAGGCGACTGACATACCCTGTTGTCGCTTAGTAACCACTAACATGCCCTGTTGTTGCTTAGTGACCACTTACATGGCCTTTTGTTGCTTAGTGACCACTAACATGCCCCGTTGTTGCATTGTGACCATTAACATGCCCTTCTGTTCCTAAATGACCACTAACATACCATGTTATAAGGGTAACGGTATTTTTCAGGGCATATCATTTGTTGAAGACTGCGGTCTTTCGTGAACTGTATGACGAAGGGCAGTTGAACAGACTCAGCGGTCGGCAAATGATCATGCCCTCACAAATAACGTTAACGTTGTTATATTAGCTGTTAAAATGGTGAAATCTAATCACAAAATGAATACAGCAACAAACAGCAGCATGAGCTTAGTGGCTGTATGCGGGCTTCTTCCTGATAATTCTATCTCTGTTTTAATGTTCCTTAATGACCACTAACATACCCTGCTGTTGCTGAGTGACCACGAACATGCCTTGATGTTCCTTAGTGACCACTAACATACCTTGCTGTTGCTGAGTGACCACTAACATGCCTTGATGTTCCTTAGTGACCACTAACATACCCTGGTGTTGCTAAGTGACCACTAACATGCCTTGTTGTTCCTTAGTGACCACTTATATACCCTGCTGTTACTAAGTAACCACTAACATGCCTTGTTGTTCCTTAGTGACCACTAACATAACCTGTCGTTGCTTTGTGGCCACTAAAATAACCTGTCGTTGCCTAGTGACCACTAACATACCCTGGTGTTTCTAAGTGACCACTAACATAACCTGTCGTTGCTTTGTGGCCACTAAAATTACTTTGTCGTTGCCTAGTGACCACTAACATACCCTGCTGTTTCTAAGTGACCACTAACATAACCTGTCGTTGCTTTGTGGCCACTAAAATACCCTGTCGTTGCCTAGTGACCACTAACATACCCTGCTGTTTCTAAGTGACCACTAACATAACCTGTCGTTGCTTTGTGGCCACTAAAATAACCTGTCGTTGCCTAGTGACCACTAACATACCCTGCTGTTTCTAAGTGACCACAAACATAACCTGTCGTTGCTTTGTGGCCACTAAAATACCCTGTCGTTGCCTAGTGACCACTAACATACCCTGCTGTTTCTAAGTGACCACTAACATAACCTGTCGTTGCTTTGTGGCCACTAAAATACCCTGTCGTTGCCTAGTGACCACTAACATACCCTGCTGTTTGTAAGTGACCACTAACATAACCTGTCGTTGCTTTGTGGCCACTAAAATACCCTGTCGTTGCCTAGTGACCACTAACATACCCTGCTGTTGCTAAGTGACCACTAACATAACCTGTCGTTGATTTGTGGCCACTAAAATACCTTGTCGTTGCCTAGTGACCACTAACATATCCTGTTGATTCCTAGTGACCACTAACATACCATATCGTTGCTTAGTGACCACTAACATGCCTTGTTGTTCCTTGATGACTACTAACATACCCTGTTGTTGCTTAGTGACCACTAACATATCCTGTCGTTGCCTGTTGACCATTAACATACCCTGTCGTTGCCTGTTGATCACTAACATACCCTGTCGTTTCTAGTGACCACTAACATACCCATTCGTTGCCTGTTGATCACTAACATACCCTGTTGTTGCTTAGTGACCACTTACATACCCTGGCGTTGCTTAGTGACCACAAACATACCCTGTCGTTGCCTGTTGATCACTAACATATCCTGTTGTTGCTTAGTGACCACTAACTTACCCTGTCGTTTCTAGTGAGTGAGTGAGTGAGTGAGTATGATTTTACGCCGCTTTTAGCAATATTCCAGCAATATCACGGCGGGGGACACCAGAAATAGGCTTCACACATTGTACCCATGTCGGGAATCGAACCCGGGTCTTCGGCGTGACGAGCGAACGCTTTAACCACTAGGCTACCCGACCGCCCCCGTTTCTAGTGACCACACACATACCCTGTCGTTGCCTGTTGATCACTAACATACCCTGTCGTTTCTAGTGACCACTTACATACCCTGGCGTTGCTTAGTGACCACTAACATACCCTGTCGTTGCCTGTTGATCACTAACATATCCTGTTGTTGCTTAGTGAACACAAACATACCCTGTCGTTTCTAGTGACCACTTACATACCCTGTCGTTTCTAGTGACCACTAACATACCCTGTCGTTCCTAAGTGACTCCTTACATACCCTGTCGTTACCTGTTGATCACTAACATATCCTGTTGTTGCTTAGTGAGCACTAACATACCCTGTTGTCCGTAAGGTCCAGGTGGTCCTGGGCGCCCCTTCTTCCCGACTCCTGGTGGGCCGGGCGGTCCTCTGAGGTCCGCGATCAGATCCTCTAGTTGGTCTACAACAGAACAGGTTGCATTTGTCAGGAAACTAGTGTTGTGTTATTCTGTTAGCTACCGAATATGCCCTGAAGGGTTCTGTGTCCCAATGACGTTACATATTACTTTTCATAATACATAATACTTGACTAGACTCGGCTGCTGGTGTATATTGACTACATCAACACCCGTGCTATTACATACATGTGGCAAAACAAATATCAACACCAGCAGATTGTGACTATGTCACTATTCCATGATGATATACAGGATATACTCGCCTCTCAGTACCATGCTGCATAGTTCCCGCATCTCGGTCTCAGATATACTGCGTCCCTGCAATTGAAATATACACCTGCAACTTCACAGACAACATCTACCACCAGACCGGAAAGGCAGTACATCGGCGGTAGTCCTGATTATACGTTTACACATACCATTGATTACGCCCTCTTGGCATATTTATTGATAACGTTGATGCACTGCTACGTTAAATTTATTGTTCGTGTATTTAGGCATGAAGTGACTTTGTTACATTACGGACGCCACATATCTCCAAACAATGTTCAGTATAACGTAAACTCTACTGGGTACTGCATTATGCTTGTCACGAGGTTAAGTAAACGAGTGATCTCCCTTACCGGAAGTCCTGGCATTCCCGGCATTCCTGACTGTCCTCGAAGTCCTCTAGGCCCAGGGGGTCCCGGGGGTCCGGACAAGCCGGGGATCCCAGATTGCCCCTGTGATCCCTGGGGACCTCTGTCTCCTTGGGCCCCGCGTTCACCAGGCTGGGAGAATATAGCGAGTTAAATCCATTAATTAATTCCATTTGTGCTGTCAACTACGTACAGCTTTGCCGATAGTTACAGGTTTATATCGACGGCCTATAGTCATGTTACATATTGGTTTCGACGGCTTTATTGATTTAATCGGGCTTGTAACTGGTTGTCGCTGTTACCTCACATTTTTTAATGTAATAATGAGATTCAAGAAACACTTAAAATACTTTGTGTGCTGACTTCTTGACAGCGTGTCTTGCTCCACGGTGGCGAACCCACAGACGGGATCCGGTCGGGCGCCACACCTCAAGTGGGTCATGGCACTCATTCACAACGTTGATAGGAGCTGGCAGGTGGGACGCCCCCCCCTCGCGCACTCACAGTAAAAACAGGGAGCGGGGAGGGTTACCCTAGTCCATGGAATATCAGCAACGGTACATTGATGCAAGAACGGTAAACTAACTACCCCTCTTGAAATCCCTTCCTTATCAAGCCATTCATGTAACATAGCGGGACCATCGTTTGATTTGTGATATATTTAAACATAGTACCGTTAGCACTCCTAAGTCAAATTAGATAAATGTTTTTCGTTGGAACAGAAATCTGCAGCATAAGCGAGAATCAGTTCTCTGTGAGTTAGACGTTCCACAGGCTGGTGTTTTCATGCAGGCCCCTACCAAAGGCTTAATTGTTACAGCAAATATCTGCACGTAGCTTCCAGCTTGTGTCTGTCGCCGAAACTAAAAAAAAGGCTGAATTCTGTCGAAAACAATTAATGCAGTTCCCCATTCCCAGAGTCACGTGACATATATGTCTGCTGTGCATTTTCAAATTTCACATGATGCCAGTGAAGGCAGGCTGCAAGAGTTGACCCCGGCCGCGAGGGTCGATCTCACATCCACAGTTTGTGTAGACGCTAGCACTCGGTACAAGTGTTTATACGATTATTCCTTCATTCATTTACAAATGTATATCTGGAGAATATTTTTTAGGTATCAGATTGCTCATGCATCTAATTTGGTTTCTTAATGTCAACCTGGCTGTTTCACGACCTAGACCAACCTGCAAATACTTCGGCGCTTAGAATTTTACATCCGGGTACGTTCGCCGGGTACATCCGGGCACATTTGTATCTAATCACCGTATTACTGTATAATAGGTCGGTGAGATCAATGACGTATATAGATGTATAATCTTTGGTGAGATTAATCTTTTCACTGTATACCGTACACCGTCCCATCACTCCGCATATAATACAGAAAACAGTGAGAAATGAGCTTTGTCATCGTTAAAATAAACTAGGAAACTAGGAAACGGGTCTTTACAACCAGATTGTGTTGCTACGTAGCATAATCACGTGAATGAGTAAAACTAGTGATTCCATCGATGTCTCACAAAGCGGGTCGAGATGACCTACAGGTCCTAATGACCTATATGCACCGGGCATCTCTATACTCACCATCCCGACGGAGCCAGGGGGTCCTGAAGGTCCCTGTCAGTAGAGAGGAAATGTTTAAATACATGTTTTTATCCCACATCCCTAGAAACGTCTACTTTGGCCTTTTGACGATCGGTATTTGACCCTAATACATTAAAATGTTTATTTAATCTAACACCCGCACATTTTACAGAGAGATAAACTACAATCCACATGACATAGGTCGAGTTTTCTTTTCTAGGCATGTCGTTCGTTGGCGTCGTTATGTGGAGTCCACGACACGAGGGGTTCAACCACCTCCCCGCAATACAGAATATAGAATGTTTAACTCAAGCAGCAAAACAAAAACTATCAAGCGCTAAAACGCAAAAATATGTCCTATATTGGATATAATAATTATAACATTGCAATCTCCGCCTGGCACGACAAAGGCGGGTATGCACGTTTCCCAGAAATAATGTGTTGGAATTAGGGTTGGTCTAAGACTGCTTACAGAGCTCATGTTAAACCTCTGTAAAGACGATTACCACCAGAAAGTGCCAAGTCAGCAAACCAAGAGCGTGGTTCAAAGAATGTTGTGGTGTACATTTCTTCCATTCACTGGGTCGGGTTCTCCATAAACCAACGACAGGTGCTACTTGCAGCACGGAACCACATGGCAATACTTGATATGTCTAGTGGATATTGCTATGTATAACTTTTAATGGTTCTAACACTTTTGAATTGCTGCCCTCTGGTGGTTTTTGTGTACGAACATTCTATTAAGTGTCTCAGGTACACCGCGTAATTCAGGAATTGAAACATATCAGTCTGAAGTATATCTGAATGAGGTTATTAGGTACCTGGTGAGTAAACGGGAACTAGTGTCATATTGATGTACCAAAGGGTGGATCGAGTGTTATATTGGTGTAAAGTAGGAGGAGCTAGTGTCATATTAACATAACAAAAGGAGGAACTGGTGTTTTATTGGTGTAAAGTAGGAGCTAGTGTCATATTAACATAACAAAAGGATGAACTAGTGTTTTATACGTGTAAAGTAGGAGGAGCTAGTGTCATATTAACATAACAAAAGGATGAACTAGTGTTTTATAGGTGTAAAGTAGGAGGAGCTAGTGTCATATTGGTATAACAAAAGGATGAACTAGTGTTTTATTGGTGTAAAGTAGGAGGAGCTAGTGTCATATTGATATAACAAAAGGATGAACTAGTGTTTTATAGGTGTAAAATAGGAGGAGCTAGTGCCATACTGATATAACAAAAGGATGAACTAGTGTTTTATAGGTGTAAAGTAGGAGGAGCTAGTGTCATATCGACATAACAAAGGATTAACTAGTGTTTATTGGTGTCAAGTAGGAGGAGCTAGTGTCATATTGACATACCGACAGGATGAACTAGTGTTTTATAGGTGTAAAGTAGGAGGAGCTAGTGTCATATTGATATAACAAAAGGATGAACTAGTGTTTTATAGGTGTAAAGTAGGAGGAGCTAGTGTCATATTGATATAACAAAAGGATGAACTAGTGTTTTATAGGTGTAAAGTAGGAGGAGCTAGTGTCATATTGATATAACAAAAGGATGAACTAGTGTTTCGGGTGTAAAATGGGAGGAACAAGTGTCATATTGATATAACAAAAGGATGAACTAGTGTTTTATAGGTTTAAAATAGGAGGAGCTAGTGCCATACTGATATAACAAAAGGATGAACTAGTGTTTTATAGGTGTAAAGTAGGAGGAGCTAGTGTCATATTGACATAATAAAAGGATGAACTAGTGTTTTATAGGTGTCAAGTAGGAGGAGCTAGTGTCATATTGGACCAAGGCTATACTGATGTTACAGGATTTTGCTGATCACGTACACACATGCCACGCAATACAAGATGCCCCTGCTTTAAACTGTCTGGATTGACATTTTGTAACGTGATAATCACTCTAAATTGACTGTGGTATACCTCGAAGGGTACATCCCCATTATAAGGCCATACTCAAATTACCCCTTTATCTCAAACCTCACTCAAATTCGAGACAACCACAGTCGAGGTAACAAAGACGTGTGTATACTTACCGAGGGCCCCGGGGGGCCGGTCCCTCCCCCACCTGTGTATCCGTTGGCCACATAGCCCTGGGGGCGAGAAATAATGTCAAGTTAAATTTCAGATTGAAAAACATAAACATGTTTCTGTAAAGCTTTACTTCAAACATTCTTCTAAAACGTGTTTGACGCCGCAGTCAGTGATGTTGCAGCAGCACGGATGCTGGTAAATAAGACGAGTCGCGGGCAGTCAACCAGTGTCTGAATACATGAGCAACGATCCGCGCAACTGGGGTACGCTGACACGTCAATCATACAAGTCGCAAAGGTTGACCACCCGATACAACTGAAGTAGATTCCCACGACAATCATAACATACAGAGGGCCTTGTCTTACCTGAACTCTCCACAGAGGTCAAAGTTTAGTACATTTTCAGACATAATGAGTAACTGAACCCGTTTTAGTGAGGGTAGTATTCTTCAAACATAGTCGGGTGATATTTAAGAGTTATCTACCATAGTCGGATGATATTTAAGAGTTATCTACCCTAGTAGGATGATATATAAGAGTTATCTACCGTAATCGGATGATATATAAAAGTTATCTACCATAGGCGGATGATATATAATAGTTATCAACCCTAGTCGGATGATATGTATGAGTAATCTACCGTAGTCAAATTATATATAGGAGTTATCTACCCTAGTCGGATTACATATAGGAGTTGTCGACCCCAGTCGCGGGTAAAATATATAATTTATCAAGTCAGGATTCACCATGTTAGGTAGACATTTACGATGGCAGTAAAAGGCCACATTAAAACATTTCTTTCTCAACTTTTCTTTTTTTTTAACTGGGTAGATTATACCTTTTTTGTTATTTCCGAACCGTTCAAACCTTAATATAAAGTTGTACCAAAACGTAAAATGAAATAAATGTGGAAACGGAACAGAATTGAGCATCCCCCCACCCCCACCCCCACCCCCACCCCCACCCCCACCCCAAATTTTAAAATAAATAAATAAAATGAAATAATAATAAAAAAATAATAATAGATAAACTCCCCAAAACAATCAAACTGTGATGCTTTTTTCAGAGTCGAGCAGTAATAAGAAACAACAACGTTTTTATGTGGCCTTAGGAAATGTGTGTTGCCAGGCGATCTCTGGTGACTTGTTTGTATGACCATAGGTAGCGCACGGCACGGCGTTTGGCCACGTTGTTAGAAGTAACACCACAACACATGCTCTCATGCTACGACACAGATATGTCAGTTGATTCCTTTAATTAGCCTGAATACGTTCGGAGGTCACCTGCCTCACGTTCACGAGCTGAAGTTATCAAAAGGTGAATGTTGAACCTTCTGAGGTTCACACCAAGAATGTAGTCGAGTTAAGTCTACGACACAACACGTTAGTTCAGGAAACACAGGTTCACCGCGAGAGAGTGGGTTAGGTGCGTGGAAAGAAGAGTGACAAACCAATTTAACAGACTTCATTGTTACCTTGGTGGACTATCGGAAAAGTATCATTAGGATGTTAGGAAAAAGAAGAGTCGTTGAACACAAATCAAAAGAAATTCAAAATGTCTTAACCATGCTTCCATTACATACCTGGAGTTCTTCGAGATCAATCTGGTCATTGAACAAAAGGTAGTCAGGTAAAGACCCACATCAACTTTAGTACACACATGGTAAGGGTTTCACGTTAAGTCGTTAAGAAGGGTATGTCGTTAAGAAAGGAGGGGGGGGGGGGGGGGGGGGGGGGGGGGTGTCAGGGTCTGTCCCTCCCGGGCTCGCGGAGATGCAGTGCCCTGGTACGTTGCTATGGAAGATGTACCGGGGTACGTAGGGTGGGAGACAGTCCTGTCATGGAGGTACATATGGAGATAGGCCTTTACTTGGGTACATATGGTGAAAGACAGACCAACAACTGGCTAATTAACCAAGCAGCCATGGTGACACTATCATTTCGAGAAATATAAGTGTGTAACGGTATAAACTAAAAGTATTTGTCTTTAGCCACCTTTCACATACTGTAGGTCGATATAAGGAAGTATGAAGTGAGTGAGGGTATGGTGTTTCAGGTCAGCAATATTACAGCCAGATCGATCGTTTCTGACGACAGCGTATAGGTGCTGGGGACATGTGTGGGGGTATGGAGTGAATGCATATCAAGGTATTGAGATTTCTTACCGGTGTCTGGATCCACCCCAGTCAAGCCTCAACTTACCGTGTTACCTTTCTCCCCAGGGGGGCCGGGGTTACCCTGAAACAACGCACAATCATGTACAACCTTGTAACATCGGACAAAACGTACAACCTAACAATCATAATGTTAGGCCTGTATCGTGACTGCGCAATATCTGCATCTAAGTTTGTCGACATCATAAAAATAGACATTGTACTACATTGCAACGGTACTGTAATACATTATAACGGTGCAATATATTAGTGTATTGCTTTTTAACAGTGCAGAACAATAGAATGCATTAAACGATACAAGACGATTCAGAACACAAGTGTCCATACTCTTGTACCAATGCACTGTTTTACTTATGGCATCCTAAAATGTATACAGTAGTATGTGGCAAATACAACTAAAAAGCTTAATGCTACGTGGAAGATCAGAGTTTGGCTTCACATGTTTAACTAAGTGTGGATTTGGATCCCCGATGGCGCTGTGAGTGCAGGCCAACGAACCTGCCTTGCAGTGAATGAGCCGATATTTAATACGTGCACGTCTGTGTATGGTTAAATATTTATTTTGGGGAGAGAAAGATTACACTTGCCTAAAATTGAAACGATATCGCATGAGAAGAAAGCGGCTTTGTTTGATTATTTAATTAGACGGCAAGATACCGGCGTGCAAAACGCTTGTGCGTCCCCGTTTGATCGACACCGCAGCGTGTACCTCGCCCTCCCTTACCTCCGTATAGGATCGACAGAGGTTAATTTTGTCGATGTTAAAAAACCATCGAATTTACGTTTCTCAAAGATGTTGTTGACATCTCCATTGTACACGGCAGGTATATATATATAACAGTCCGACACCCTTTATGGAAAAGGATCAGTTTCTCGCCGTCTTTGGGGCCGACCGTGACCTTTAGGTTTAAATGTGAATGTAAGGTTGAGTAATGCATCTTGGATCAAAGCCCTACGACAAGGTTCTGTTGGGGGAAATCCCTACGATAAGGTCCCACAACGGGAAATCCGTAAGACAGAACCTGTAGCTGGAAATCCCCACAAGGTTCTGTATCGGGAAATCCGTACAAGAATCAGTACTCGGAAATCCCTACGATAAGATCCTGTAGTGGGAAATCCCTACAAGATTTGGTACCGGGAAATCCCTACGATAGGATCTAACGACAAGGTTCTGTAACAAGGCTCTGTAGCGGGAAATCCCTACGACAATATACTGTAGCGGGAAATCCCTACGACAATATACTGTAGCGGGAAATCCCTACGACGAGATCCACCATCGGGAAATCCTTACCCTTAAGATCCTGTAGTGGGGAATATGACAAGTAATCAGTTAAAATGCAAAAAGGTCATGAAGTGGCGGATTGACGGTTGAGGACACGTGAATACCTCGGACATGTCGACGTGGAGGTTTAAACATCATATCGTGTTACAAGTACAACAGTTTATGATAAGAATAAATTAAAAAAACACCGAAACCCGCAACTTCCGGCTGCGCTCTGTTGCCAGATGGCTTTCCAAGTCTATAAGAAGCTGGGAGGAATTTTAACTACTTGAGTTCTTTAAGGACACGACTTAAACTTGCCAGTCCTGCCAAAGAAGCTTTCAGCATTACGTCGGTTGAGTCCGAATTTCAACTTTATAGCAATCATAACTCCCATGGCGAGGAACTGGAATCTGACAGCTATTTCGTCGACTGTGCCACGCCCTCCATGTTCACTACCCCCCGGCCGGAGATCAGCAGGGGCACCTCTCACCATACCATCATTAAACAGATTACCTAACGTCAAGCGCCCCAGAGTCACGACACAGCAAGCCCGGCACTTCACCTGTTGCAGGCCTATGTCTGCAGCTGGCTTACCAATTCCACAGAGGCATAGCGTGGGTACCAGTGTAGGGGAACGCTACAACAGATGCCCCCTGCGTCCCTGGGGGATACTTTCTTCACCTCCCATTTATAATCTCAATCTCGCACATTTCCAGACAGCACCGTTCTTAAATAGTTTTGTTTGTTTGTAGACCTTCATTTATATATTTATCCATTATTAACCCGGCACTGTGAAGGTATTTCAGCTATTCCTATTTCACACTATTTAACCCTGCTTTGTCGGACAAAGAATTTCAATTTCCACATGTTGCTATTTATGTTTTTGTCTTTTCAATTTCGATTTCTTATAACTTTGTACATTGTGTGATTTCTTGCTTGGTGTAACTCGAACTCCTCGACGTAGATTTAATGCAATGTTCTGCTGCATTGTGACGTCAAGAAGTGAACACTGGGCACTTACCGGGGGTCCCGGTGGCCCGGGGGGGCCTCCACCTCCTAGTCGTCCCGGGGGGCCGGGCGGTCCTTGGGGGCCCTGAAGTGATGAAGCACAAGAATTGACAAACACTGTTAAGAACACATACAACTGCAGAGTGACATGCACGTGGGTTAGAAAACGTACAACTGTATGGATAACAAAGGGGGCGCGTCTAAGGCGCCGCAATTTGCTGTGCAGAGTTGCATCCCTTGGGCACGTCAGAAACCTCTGATTGTGGGTTCGAATCCCGATTCTCCCCGATTATGTTTCTAGGTTTGTCAGCACCATACCCGTGCTCGTGGGTTTCACCAAAGTGGTAAACGTCTAACCTGCATCACTTCGGGCTTTCCTCCCACATTAAGCTGACACGCCACGATATAACTGGAATACTGTTAAAAGCGGCGTTGAACCCAATTAAGTCCCTATAGATAACAACTTCTTGTTCATTGTATACAGCGACGTTTTGATGTAGATTATAACACCGTTATTACGCTGCATTCATCTGGGCCTGACTTTGTCAAGCAGTGTACTGTCACGATGCGTCACTCGATGCAAAGCACGGAACAAATTAGGGCTTAAAAACCTCATGCCCCGGCAGAAGATTGCATTTACATTTCATTTTCAAACCAAAAACCCTTTCCCTCATATTTAACGATGTGATGAAGGTTTGTTGCAATGATACAAGACTTAAACATACTAGTGTCGTGGCGATGCATCGGTGAATCGTTACAGCCCCAGATAGACATATTCAATATTACAACAAACCAAAGACGTATATATATATAGAGATTGTATATAAGTCTTTGAACAAACATAAGTCAAACATTCAAACTAAACGTAAAAAAAGTAATATCAACAAGCCCACAAGTTTTTATCCCAACAACGTATAACCCAATAACAATAATTAGGCAAACATTAAAATCACCTAAGAATTTAAATTTGCCCTTGAAAAGTGTAAAACAATACTATGTGTTGTTCTGTTATCCACCTACTCCTTTGAAAAACGTATCTTATACCCCTGGATTAGCTCTTCCATCGCATACATCTGCCCCGTTGACAGCCAGGCCTGTCACGGTGCATCAGGCAACAGGTCATTGTTGACCAGATTGTGGGTTGTCCAAGGACATGAACAGTTGGTAAAAGGCGCTGATGGATAAAGTGAAGTGATTTAGCAATTGGGGCTAAGGCTAGTGATAACAGTAGTTCCCGTCGTCGTTCTTTGTAAGGAGGGTTTGAATCCAGGACGGGACTCAACCCAAAAAAGTACGAGAATCTGTACTTTACTAAGAAAGTGTTACCCCAAATATAACATTTGTTACGAGGGCATCTTTGTTCGAAATGTTCTTCGTCTTCTATTTCGCTTGTTTTGCAACAAGTACATATTCTTCCACCCTCATTTGAAAGGCCGTGGACTTTAGTCTCAGTCTTGTAACCGTTTTGCGGAGTTCTAGATATGGTTAAATTCATCTCCAATTTTCTCAACATGTCTGAGCTTAAGTGGTCTTTGGACTTTCATGTACAGTTGCCTTATATCGTCCAGAAGAAATATTATTGTGTTAGGTCAGGGAAAGAATAGTTGAGTAGAACGTTGATTGAAGAGACCCACGAGTTCATTTTTATCTTCAATGAAGGCTGCAGAGAGAACCTGTCATTCTACATATCTATCACCGAAGGTAATTATTGTACACAGAGAGGGAGAGAGAAAGAGGGGAGAGAGAGAGAGAGATAGAGAGAGAAAGGGAGAGAGAGAGGGGGGAAGAGAGAGAGAGGGGGGAAGAGAGAGAGAGAGGGGGGGGGGGGAGATAGGGAGAGAGAGAAACAAAGAGAGGGAAAGAGAAATGTTAAGAGGTTATAGTTAAACTCCTGTCAGGGAGTCGATGTTCTCGTTATCCGAGAAACTCTGAAATACTCTTTGCAAGTTTGGTAGTTGATGAATACACTTGCCGTTTAGACCAGTTTTGAAGCACATCTCGATGTTTGACGAGTTAAGCACCCCGCACCTCCGAACCACGTGTTGCTGTTGGTTCTACAAGTGTGTCGTATTAGCTTTGAGACCACGCTCACATGGCTTTGGTTTCCACATTCTTTATTGCTTTCTTGAATTATCCATTATTCAAATTTCAACTGGTTTAGTCTTTGTGAGGAAGTGCCTCTTGAGATCAACACATTTATTGACCCCCAATCACTTTTGATATAGACATTTTTTTCCAGTTTAACACTAACAGATGAGGGAACAGGTTGGGATATCCATGTGGAAGTTTGTATTAAAGATATGCGGGTTTTGTTGACTTAGCAAATCAAAGCAAAAAAAGGTCTACGTTACAAGCTACTTCAACAATGTATCAAAGGCAAGATACACCATCTGATCAGTGATATGTACTAAAATATATTTTATGTAACAAAAGAAATTTCATCTGTTTGATCAACACCATTTATCATCCAAACCTGACTCAAACAGGACGACACTCGTTAATATATATGATATCAAAAGACACTCGGTGAGATTCTCTATTTCTTCCTGTTGAATCATTTACTAGTTTCCAATATTCATTTGGATTCTGTGTGGATGGTTCATCTAGTTTTCTAAGTGCGATTCTTGGCTGCCCATTTCAAGGTTATGTGATACTTCTTGTCAGTCTCGTAGAGATTCAGGCGACTCCTTTTTGTCAGTAGGACATTCAGTATGCTTCAGCCAGATTTTTCCATATGCTGTTTGAGTAATTTTCAGGTGGAGTAGACGAACAGTTAGCTCCAGAAATAAAGTAATGTTTATTCAAAATATATATCTACAAAATAGGAAAAAAAATCCATACGGAGCCCAGAATGCTTAATGTCAGAGCTGAGGCAATAACTCGCTCTTGACTTAAGCTGGGTTGGTTTTTATATTTATTTTCTAGCGTCTGGGAACCAGACTACAGTTGTAGCTAAACCATTACTTTCTTCCGGATAGCTTAGACGGTACATTGGGAAGCACCCGTGAGCAGGTCTGATGCCTCGGCTGTCTCTGCATCTACTCCATCTTGTTCCATATCAAGTGGTGTCGTTAGGAAAGTATTACCTTTGTGTCTCATGCTATTGCTGCAGAGATTTCCTAAGTATGCTGTTCACAATGTTCTCTTTCGTCTTTTATCGGTGGTATGTGATACTGCCTTGTTACAAGCTCGGCGATGTCTGGAAGTCTGGAATGTCTGCTGACCGCTGAGATTGCTTTGTGCACGTGGGCCCTGCTGACAGTTTTATTACAAAACAAGATCCGTCTAGATAGGAACATTTTCTGCGGATTGCACTGGAGTACACAACCCCAATATTATGAGTGAGTGTGGGACTGTGGTTTTACGCCGCTTTTAGCAATATTTTTACACCAGAAATTGTCTTCACACATTGTACCATGAGGTGTGACGAGCGAACGCTTTAACGACTAGGGTACCCCACCCTCAAATATCACGTGGTGAGGTGAGGTGAAATGGGGTTTAATGTCGTGTCCACGATTATTGCACCTATAAAGCGACGTGTGTGTGTCTGTCTGCTTGTACTAGTCCGGACTAATGCCGATGTGTAGTGCTAGCCCACTGAGATGCCATGCCACAGTTTAAACATGAATACCCCACTCAGACACAGTATACTGACTCCGAGCCTAACAGTCCTTGTTTTAGCCCCTTAATGCCAAGCGCCAAACAGGGTAACAACAAGTACCATCCTTTTAAGCATTTTGGTATGACGCGGCCGGGGATCGAACCCCGGACCTTCCGCTCTCCGGGCGGACGCTCTACCACTAGACCACGGAGGCAGTCTGAGGTGCTATGCCGCAGTTTAACATGAATACCCAACTCAGACACAGTATACTGACTCCGAGCCGAACAGTCCTTGTTTTAGCCCCTTAATGCCAAGCGCCAAACAGGGTAACAACAAGTACCATCCTTTAAAGCATTTTGGTATGACGCGGCCGGGATCGAACCCCGGACCTTCCGCTCTCCGGGAGGGCGCTCTATCACTGGACCACGGAGGCGGTCTCAAATACCATGACCGGACATTAGAGGACAATATGCAGACATCTGAATGAACCCTGCATGTAGCTGTTACAGACCTTGGTTAACAGATGAACTGTGAGGTGAGATCGTGAGTGTAGTCCCCGTCACATGTGACAGTGTTACGTCACTGCGTATCTGGGGGAATGCAACCCACCGTGATGCAGGTCACAGATTCTATTTGCGGAACGCTACCAGCACCTCCGTGCTCCTAGCAGGCCATGGATCAACATCGGAGCAAATCTGGGATTCGAATCCACGACCCAACTATGCCTTCGAATCTTGTCGAAACACCTTTTCCCGCATCATCTGCTTCCACGCGTTATGCTTCTATGAAACGCGTGACGCCTGCAGTAGCACCCGCCTGGTCATTAGGGACAAGGGGACCTGAAGATACGGGCAAGCCAGGATATGTGTAGGAGAAACTCTCAAATGTATAACCTGTATCGGAGATGAAATATCGCCTGCAGTCGTGAACTCGGTTCAATGAAACCGGTGACCTCAGCACGTGGGTTTCGCAACGGTGCGAAATTTGCACGTGCGTCTCGCAATGGCACGAAATCTGCACGTGCGTCTCGTAGGCTGTTCGTAGTTTTTGTTCTGTCAAGGGTTTACAATGATAGTAAGCCCTCCTACGAGGTGTTACCACAATTTAAAAAACTCAATATCGAGTTACACAAACAGCCAGTAGGTTTATAAGTTGAGTTGTGACCTGACAGTTAACCCCGTGTGTGAGGTCCGCCCACTGGTGGGTACCACTGTGAACAAAGGGGTAGCGGGTGGACCGCGACAAAGAGTACGATGGATATGTGCGTGTCCTATCACGGCAAACAACGAGTTCTAGTTGCGAGTTCAATAGCGCACTGGTCGAAATCGCCATTTGATCACTGGACGATTTCACGACTTATTTGGGCTAATGACCCGCATATCTCTGACCCCAATCAATCACAAACCTGTACACTATTGACGCTATTCAACAATAACGTCTGCAACATTTGTAAGGGCGGCGAACAGACTCCATTGTGACATCCT